TCTCCACTGTGAAATAAATGTCTAGTGCTCTCATCTTCTCAGTGGAAAACGCTTGTTAAATGCTCTCTCTGGCTCTACACACAACATTCTTATTTGGAGCTTGTGTCCTATCAGGCATTTTGCAGTGGAACCCTCAGTTTTATTAGCAGGACTGTACCCAGGACAAGAGTGAAAGTAAATATGTATTTTAGAATCAACTCTTCTTTGATGAATTGTCCTCCTTCCTATTAGGATTATCTGGAGGGAGTTCAGCTCCTGGCCTCACCTCTGCTTTGCTTTTGGCTCTTTCTTGTCCATTTCTCATCTCTGATAGTGGCCTTTCTTCCATTCCCCCTGACAGGTTTTGCTCAGGGATGCTGTGCTGAATTGATACATGCACTGACTGACTTTTTCCCTGACCTGCTGATTGACAGCACTCTGGAGCAACCCACTGAACATCTGGGGGTGGGATAGGCTGAGTGTGCTGACAAAGTTTTCTCCAAGCTGTCACCCCACAGCACGCTTAGATTCAGAATATGCTGCAAGCCTCAGAGGCCTTATGAACGGCATGTCCTAGGTTTGGTCCTCAGGAGCACAGTGAAAATCTGTGTATGTGGCCTTTCTCCCCCACCAAACACTGGTGTTGCATCTTCCCTTCTCTGTTCTCACTGCCCCACCCTGGAGCCACGGTGTTCTGTGTAATGACCATTAAAGTTGTTTTCCAAGGGCATATCCAGATTGCTCTGGATTGTTCCCTCTCAGGGGCCATGTAAGGCAGACAAAGGGCACTTGAAGCTCAAAGACGAGAATTTCCCAGGACCAAAAGTGCAAAGATGGCATTGATTCTGCTACAGTGTTGTCAAGATTAGCATTCTGAGTAGCCTGGGGGAAAATGAATCCGTTTTCCCTGGATCCATTTTAATTCATTTGCCAAAGAAAAGGCAAAGCAGAAATTTGTGGAACTTTCACCTTTGTGTCAATGCACTGTCACTAAGAGCTACTAAGGAACATATTCCCCCTCTGGGCCCTCAGATGTTGCATAGCTTTTCACAGACAGCGGAAAGAGGAGCAATGGCTCCAGCTGCCATCATCCTAGAACTTTGCTAAAAGTCAGATTCAGATCTTTTCGTTAGCAGAAAAAGCTGTGGTTTTGAATCAGTTATATAGCTGTTCAGATGACGAGAGAGGATTTTATATCATTTGTATCAGTAAAAACATAGTGTTTAGCACAAGTAAAACACTGTCAGGATCCCCAGAATTCACTTCTTTTTCATTTATACTGCCTCATGGGCTTTCTCCATAGCAAGAATATTAATTGAGCACTTTTGTTTCAGTGGGAACTCATGGAACTAAATGTACGCTTTTCACTAAGTCAGTTTTCTTAATTATTACCTGAGATGCATGTTTTGACTCAAATTTCTATTCTTCCTTAGAGATACTGAAAAGAGCTAATCCACTCTGAATATTTTCCCTCCTAGATTATTTCTGCTGCTTAGCATTGGAAACTTATCCTTCATTAGGGAATGATCTGGAAGCTGGTGAAGTCAACGAAGCACTTAAAATTTTTTTTTTCCTTCAGATTTCAGTCAGCACTGCATTGGAATTAGAAGCAAATTGGCTATATAAGTTTGTCTGAAACTGGTGAAACTGCTCCTGTTCTGCTGTTTAGCCCTAAATGTGATGACATTTCACATTTTCCATGCAAAAGTAGGAGAAGTATCTTCAAATTGCATAAATATCTTCCTTTTCTCTTCCTGTCAAGCCAGAGAAGATTAATTTTTAAAGTAAAATCTGTAGGGGGCATTTATGGAGAAAGCGTGACTGCTCAGATTACTCTTCTAGGCAGGAGTTCCTTCAGGCAGCCTTGGTTTTGGCATTCCAGTTCTCAAAAAAAGTTTAAGACATGAACTTCTACGTCAAAAAACATTAGAATAAATTACCTTGAAGGTCTGGAAGAAGCTGTTATTTTTTAAGATATTGGATTACAGATAATGAAAATGAATAGATTCATTAAAATATTTCCATGCTATTTTTTGTAATGGTGATCTCATCCTATAACTTTCGTTTCTTTGTACCTTGCTGTTTTCTAATTTTAAAGAATAAGGATTAGAAAGCTATACATATTCTCTTTATGCCCGCACATTAAATTTATTTCTCTCTGTATTTAGAAATATATTTCTAAACATAGAAATGTCAATATTGTGCTGAGTCAGATCTTTTGAATATATTCATGAATTGTAGAATCATAGAATCATTTCAGTTAGAAGGATCCATTTAAGGTCACCTAGTCCAACTCCCTGCAATGAGCAGGGATAGCTACAGCTACATCTGGGTGCTCAGAGCCCAGTCAGCCTGACCTTGACTGCCTCCGGGGATGGGGCATCCATCACCTCTCTAGGCAACCTTTGCCAGTGCTTCCCCAATCTTATAAAACACTTCTTCCTTATATCCAAACTAAACCTCTCCTCTTTTAGTTTGAAACCATTTCCCCTTGTCCTAACACCACAGACCCTGCTAAAGATGCTGTCCCCTTCTTTCTTATAGCTTCCCTTTAGATACTGAAAGGAAATGTGACTTCAGGTGATGCAGAACCCTGATGCTGAGATTAGGATACTACTTCAGCACAGTGAGAGTCCTTTGCAGGAAACACCAATGTCTGCAATTGCACAGATTACTTCCACGTTCCTCCAGAATGTTTTCAGTAACATCACTTATTTAAGGCTGTAAGTTTTGGCTGCTGCCTCACCTTTGCTCAGCAGCTCCTGGGCCACCAATATCAATAACAGGTTTGAAGAAAGATGAAGGGCTCTGGCAGTTCAGCCTGCAGTAGCTAAATATAATTTTCCCATCAGTTCTTTCCTGTTGCCTATTTCCTACTGCATCTCATGCTGGGGAAGAAGTGAAGCAGGGCAAGAAAGTCACAGTGCCTGTGGAGGAGTGGGGTTGGCCTTTACTCCTCGATTCTGCAGCAGGAGAAAAAAATCTGTCCCCAGAGGCATCATATATCCCTGGATTTCCCCCCCAACAGTTATAAATTGTCAGTAACTCATGTGAGACTCTAAAAGCTTCTATTGCTATAACACCTATGACCTATGATTCAGAGCATCATAAGTGATGGCTCTGAAGCCTGAAAAAAACATGGAGAAAAAGTACAGAGAAGCAAAAAGAGATCTCTCATATTGCACATTTTTGACACTTTCCTTCTATGGCAATGAGATTTTTCTTAAAGATTTTTTTTTTATTGATTTGGCTTTATCATAGTGCATGACAGCATCTATCCAGTAGAAGATGACTTAATCTTTTTCCTCAAGTACTGAACCAGTCAAGTCCAGCCAGTCACAACAGCATGCCAAAGAGCTGACCTGATGCTACAGTCTTGAAGACCTGCTTTAAAGACATGTTTTCTTGATAAATTAGAAGTCATTATCATTGTTTTACAGCTAAATGTGAGTAGTTTAAATGTCTCAGGGATTCATTTTGTCTTACTAGCTAGAATTTTGTCCTGCAGCTTTGCCAGTGCATTTGCACACTCTTCAGAATTAATCCTGTATCTCCTTCCTTCCATCCTACTGTATTTTCTACTTCACAGACTTTTTGTTTGGGACCTATTTTCTAAGCCATTCTTTTTCCTCTTACATTAGTGACTTGAAATGGAACTACTCTGTTATTTTAATCTACTACTTCTCTGAGTGCGAGATGACTGCTTTCTTCAGTCCTTACTTCTCTGGTAAATCTACTCAGCATTCATTTAGGAAAGCTGTGTCCTTCTGCAAGGCAACCTACCATTGTTATTTGACTTTTTATCTGAAGGCAGTTTTGCAGCCAGTTTAAATCTTCTTGGTGCCAGTCATGCTCTTTGAGGGAAAGTTCTCTGATACCAGCCTGCTATCAAATCCCCTCTGAGTGAGATGGTTCAGAGGAACATTGCACAGCACAACAAAGAACTCTTCTGTATCATGATGAGTGTTATCAGCATACCTCAAACTTGATCAGCAGAATGTATTTTAGCAAACTATTTAGTTGATGCTTATAGCCATGTGCTGCAAAGTCCACATCTGGATTCACAGTCTCAAAGACATGAAGCAAGCTATTGCAATTCAGTCAGAAGTGCAAGTGATGGGGATGTTCACAGATGAGTAGGGTAAGGGTAATGTATACAACTTTGGCTTTCTGTCATAAATTTACATAACTGCTTGGGAATTAGCGTGTCAAGACCTCTAGATTCCCTCCCTAGTTATAAGAGGTACAGCTGGTGGAAGCTGCTCAGGTTGGACTCAGCCTTGCATGACTTGTGGAATATGTCACATTCTAGCTGCACTTTTGAGACATTCGTTGACATCATCCCAGGGACATCAGCATTTCTTTTACTGTAGGATTGATACAAAATTAGGCAAAGTAGACCAGATCAGCAGAAGATTGCTTTTGACCATCTTGTTCTTGACAGAGCAGTGGAACAGTGGAAGAGCTGGGCAGTGGAACAGTGGAAGAGTGAGAACAGTTCTATTGCAAATGAAGAAAAGAGCATAGGAAATGATAGTAGCACATTTAGCTTTATTGGAATTGAACAAATACCTTTTATTTTTCTTAATAAACCCTTTTACAGCAAGTGTAAAATTTTAATGTTTGATTCATTTTATGTTACAGGTTGTCTTCTTCTGTGTAAGCAAAAATACCATCTTTTTTTTTTTTTTAAGTTTTATTTTCTACTTTAAAACATGTAGCAAGGATTTGAATAATGCAGATCCGGCACCAAAAGGTAACAGGTTCTGAAAATCACAGTACAGTTTTAAAATTCTTAGGTTAATTATGATATTTAAAATGATAGCCACTTTGAATAAAGATATAAATTAGAAGTCTGTAAACAAGTTGTGTTTACCTATAGAGCTATTGATCGCAGCTACAATGAGAGCAATAATAGAAACTCAATGCTAAACTGAGCTACACCTTTGAGGAACCAAGTTCTTACTACGTAGTGTGGTACAGGGTAGCACAATAGGTAAAATACAATTTGGCACCTCAAGTTGCATGTAAAATTAGCAGAAATAAAATGAAGTAAGTGCACTGTTTTCCAGCAAAAATAAACTGGGCAGTTTCACTGGTTTTGGAGTGTCAACTATCAAATAAATTACACAACACACAAGTTCAACCCCAAAATTACAATTCTAGTAAAGCAAGATAATATTAAAATGCACACCCACAAGGATAGTAAAGTATAAATCTATTTGTTTTTGTTTTTCCTCTCCTTTGTCAGTAGAAATAATTTACAACCCACAAAAGGACTCCTTGGTGAAACCACTAACTACAGACATGGTCATGGAATGTAGCTCAGTAGACTTGTTTCAAATAGAAAGGCAACATTATCCTGAAAAAGTTTGGTCCTCTTATAACTCACTGCACTGTAGCCACCACAGTCTCTTGGTAGATGTTTTAGGAGCACTGTTTGTTTTCTGATTCTCTTTTGTTTCAAGCAATAATATCTTGGTGATAAAGTTGAGTAAAATTTGGCCCCTTTTACAGATGTCTGGTCAATGCTGAATCTGGCAGAAGAACACTGACAGTATATAAGGGGAACTCTTATTGACTGGTCTCAGGTATATTGTTTCATGCAATCAATTTTCCTTCTATAATTCTTTTCCTTTTTCATTTTCTCTTCAGAGTCCTGAGGGGAAAAAGAAACCCTTTATCCAAATAACAGAGAGACATTTCATTGCTTATTTACATGTGGTTCACTTTGGCTGACAAATCCTGGCACACCAGTTTCCTACTTCTTGTGAATGTCCTCATGACGTATAATTTTGTATGTAATCCAGTAAAAGATGTTGAAAATGAGGAAGGCGAGTGGGAATGCAGCACGAGATATTGTATCAATCCTTTTTGCACGGTCAACAAACTTCTTTTTGATGGAATCTGAATCCTTTGGTGGTGCTGGAGGTGGGTTTGGTGGAGTAGCCTTGACTGCTGCGCCGTCTTTGACTTGGAGACAGTGACCCATGCCATAGCCACTGAAATTGAATCGACTGTCACGAGCAACCTCATCTTCCTGGGAGAGAAAGAAGACAAATGAGAGACACAATCACCTGTCTGTCAAGCATGCCATACACTTGAGAAGTTGAGATGCACCCCTCCAAAGCACCTAAGTAAAACAGCTGATTAATAGAAAATACAGGTTTAAGAGACAAGTAATTAAAGCTCAAGCAATAAGGCAAGGAAATAAGGGGACTGCCAATGTTTGTGAACCTGAGCTTTTCTCTGTGACCAAGCCAACCAAGTCAAGTAGCCAGTTGTATCTCAGCTCCATGACTTCACAGATTCTTCATTTCCTTGGACTTGCTGCAGCAAGCAGACCTAGTTATGTTGGCAGCAGAGTGTCTGCTCTGGCAGTGTTGATTTGAATGGTCCGGGCATCCAGGGGCCAAAGCTCATGGAAGAGAATATCTCTGGCCAGTCTAACTGCAGTCTTGCACTTCCATCCCAGATCTACAAAACAAGGATTGATCATATCGTCCCCCATGCTCATAGGAATGCTCTGAGAATCAATACTTTGAAGGACACTGAATGCTTGGATTTAGAGGTAACAGGAAGTTAGGTGCAATACTGCAAGCTAACATAGAGCCACCTTGCAGAACTCCTTTCTTTCTCTTGTCTAAACAGGTAATAATTGGTTTTAGAAAGATGAGTATCTAGGACTTAACTTCATCATCATGACTGTATGATGAAAAGTCTGAGGCTGTTTATGCTGGTAAAATCTCACAGCCACATCTCCTGTCTGATGACACAGTAATATAAGAGTTAACAGCCACTTGAAGCCCTCCATAAAGGAAACAAAACCGGTTTTATTCTTTTTTATTTTGGCATCCAGCAGCATGCCCTAAACACTTTCTCCTTCACTGACAAATACTTCATTGTTGAATTTAAATGACCTCTTCTTGAGATCACAAGCAGCTCACTCACTTGGAATACTCCCTCATATTTCTCACTAACCCAAACCTTCTGATCGTAACAGAGAATAAGAGAGTGCAAGAAAAAAACATCAGAGCTGTAATATACTGAATAAAGAGCATGTTTGCTGAATTTGGGATAGGGATTGACAACAATTTACTCCAAACCAGGATGTAAATAATTGCTCCTTCATAGCAGCACTGCTTTCAATAATTTCATTTTTCTCTCTTCTTGTCTATAGCACTGGATTTAGCTATATCATCAGGTTTACTCTCCTTACTTCAGAGCTAACATGCAAATGAGAATAACCAGAGGTGAGATCCAAAAATATCAAATGAGGATATTTTTCAATTCACTTTGAGGTGAATTGAGTGCTTATGGAAGGAGAATAAGCAATAAACAGTGCTTTTGAGACCTTGTCACTTCAGGCTAAAGACTATTCTACAATTTACCCATGAACAGGTGCATTACTGTAAGGCTGTTTGAGCACCTATCCAGGATTCATATCTCTTTCATCTCCGAAGACCACCATCATTAAGAAAAAGAAGTTTAGACTTCTCCTATTTCAATTTTATCTATATACAGTTTGCAGTTCCTCTGTGAAAAAACCCAAATTCTGCTTGTCTAGATGCTTATAAATATATAGACTATTCTAAGGATAAAGCCACTGATACCTAAGTTCTGGATAGATTTATGCAAGACTTCTCTTGCATGATTCAACAACACCACAAAGTCCTCCAAAAATACAGGGAGCTGCCTTCACTGCACTTTCCCTTTTTACTGAATTTGAAGGATAAAATGCACACCCAGGAGATGAATGGTGATTAAAAAGATAACAGATTTTGAGCAGCTGTGTTACCATATGTACTTTATTCACCTTTTTTAAAGTTTGATTTCTGTTACTAGGGAGGGACCTATGGGGTAAGTAAAATATACTTTGAACCTCATGCAGGATTTGGAAAGCCAGACTTCCATGCCTGCTGAACCACAGCTTTATTTTGAGGGGCTGAGCAGTTCATCTTCAATATTACAGCCCTATTTTTGAGCTTACATTATTGTAACCCTAGTGAGAAGTCATTTAAGATTAGGGAAAATTACCTTTAAATTGTATGCTACCAGTTCTTCAGCATAAAACCTTTAGTAGTAAAAAGCCATCTGTTTCCCAACAGTATTCAGAGCCTTACATTTCCTCCCAGCAGACGGTTGACTGTATCAGTTCTGTCTCTTAAAATCCAGAGGAAAGTTTCCCCATGCTACCTTTCTATTTAGGACTTTCATAGATGCCAATTTACATTGGATACAAGAGGTACAGTATTCTTCTGGGATATGAGGAGTGTGTGCTCAGCTGCTTTTTCTGCTTGAGCAGATTTCAATTTCCTTCTCCCTGATGAAAGTTTGAATCAGCTTGTACCTACTCTCCCAACATGCTGGTGTTTGCTGGTTGCAAAAAGTGTGCATATCAGTAGCTTTTATATTTACCAGAAAAATTCATTACAAAGCCTAAATAACTAATGAAGGAAATAGTCCTGAGTTTCCACTCGGCTACCTTTTTCCAACAGAAAATTGGTAATAGTAGCACCTAGACTCCTCTTGTGCAGGGGGTTGGATGAGAAGATCTCCAGATGTCCCTTCCAACCTCAAACATGCTGTGATTCTGTGATTTATGTCCTTCTGTAAGCAAGTAAAACCACAGCCCTTACAAAGCACAGCTGGTGGCCCTCAGCTCCATCCCCATCTCATGGTTTTCAACAGTAAGGCCCTCCAGGTGTTGAAGTGGCTTTGCAGTCTGACACTTGTTAGCCCTCTAAGCATTGCTAGCATCTGCATTCTCACTGACAACGCCTGACACCATCAGGGCTCTCCCATCTGACCGGCATAACCTGAAAGACCTCAATGTAGTGAGGAGGATATGTTTCCAGCGCTATTGGAGTGAGATGTATGTTCTGTCAGTCCCCTAAGCCCTTGAACCTGCTCCACCCAAAACAAAGCAGGAAGGAGTGAAAGACTTCCTCTCTGCTGCTCAAAGAAAGAGAGATGGAATAAACCCTAGCACTGGAACCTCAGGGTCCATGCTGCTTACAGGTTTTCTCACTCTGGTGTGGACAAAATGGGCAACTTTTCTTCAAAATATAACTTCTCCACTGAAATCTAGCACTACACACTGTGGTCATTAGCCATGTGGTGATACCTCATGGCCCCAGGAACAATTAAATACCCAATGTGGTTTATTTTAGCAATACAAATATGGTTAAAGAGAGTATACTTAAAGCACTTTTTATTACTGCAAAGCTACAATGTGACATTTCCGAGTATCTTCCAATATTCTGTCATACATAAAAGATTTTTGGGAGGAGTCGCGGAAATAGGATACCAAGTTTAGTTTCTTTGACAAAGAGAACCTTTTTTTTTTTTCATGTTTTAGTGTGTGAGATGAAGAATTGACCTCAGGCACTTTCCCTTAACAGCCTTCTTTTGCCTGGAGGCTTGGGGAACTACTGGGCATACTACCTCAGGTACTTTACAACATGGATACAGAATCGCTCTTCATTCCCAAGATCATATTCAGTTTCCACAGTCTCAAATACCCCACTGTGTAGTCTCATCTGAAGACAGTCTTCTGTTTGTATTTTTCACTGGCTTAGTCACTGGTAAAAGTGCAAACCTCATTGCAAACATTTCTATCTTTGTTTTCATCAGTCGACACACATACAACATTCATTTTAAACAAAACAGCATCTTGCTTGCTTCAATTCTGGGTTATTTGTGTTTTTACAGATTTTGAAACTGAAACCAAAGAGTGGTTAGAAGCCACTGAAACCAGAGTGGCAGAATCCCAGCTATTAAATTGACTTAATCCTTCTAAAGGAATGTGAAATAGTCTTGCATAATACATACCCACAACTCAATCTGCCCTTGATAAAGACCTGGGGAAAAGAGTCACAAGTTGGATGAAAAACAATAAATAAATAAATAGTAAAATGAAAAGGTTCTTTTACTATTTTTCTCTCAGATGTTCACATTCCTGAGTGTATTATAATTATCTTCTGAAAAGCTAATAACATTTCCTGGGAACAGGGCAAATGCTTCCTACAAACACATTTTCAACACCACCTAAATAGAGTTATGTGTATTATCTTATGGTGTTATACTGAACATATTTAGATGTTGCCTTTAAACAATTTTCCTCAAGATAGAATTTTTTTTTTTTTTCCCAAATTGTTAATTTCCTTTTGTAAATTGAATCGTTTTCATTTGCTCTGCAATGTGATGGCACTAGATTCTTTTGCCTTGGCTTTACAATTGACAACATCTAAATCTAGGGTTTGATATGGTTTTCCTATTCATCTTCCATTTTTGTAAATCTTTAATTTCTACTCCATCATGACCGGAGTGTAATTTAAACCATCAAATTCAGGCCAAAGCAATCAAGAATGGGAAAAACAGTTTAGACAATCAGCCAATTCCCTGCCTTGCATGCATCACTTTCTCTACAATGTTCTTTGTCCAGACCACTTTTAAATATTGTTAGCACTGACTCATTTTAACAATGAGGAAAATGAGAGAGAGGCTGGTTTCAAACAGTGTATTTAACTTTCTGATGTGATTTGTTCTTTTAATTTTGCTACTCTTTTTGCAACATATGGTGGGCAAACAATTTAAATGACTATCTAGTTTAATCAAATTTCAAGGACTTAGAAGATTAATTTTAGGTGTAGGGTAGAAAACATCAGGGAAACTTTCCTTTTGGCATTCATAAACACAAAGTTAGAAAACCACAATAAATTTAGACTTGAACACAAAATGGAATCAACAGAAATCAGACAGCAACATAACTTTGGAGAATTTGTTCCTAGATAATCTTTATGATTTTTTAACACCTCTCATCTCTCAGCACCTTACAAAATTCACAGGGTGGTTTTGCAAAGACAGTCTTGCTTACATGAATTCAGTTCTCAGGAGTCAGTGAGTATGTGGAGGAAAGTAGTTCAAATGAGAAGCATGGCTGGGTTTTCAAATCCTTGTTGGTTCCCACATAAGATTCTAACAAAACTAAGTTGTCAGGAGACAAGAAGGAAGGTCCTTTCATGGATTAACCATTAA